GACGGGGATAGATAGATAGATAGATAGATAGATAGATAGATAGATAGATAGATAGATAGATAGAGGGTGTGGATGGGGATAGATAGATAGATAGATAGATAGATAGATAGATAGGGTGGATGGGGATAGTTAGAGGGACAGAGGGGTGGGAAGGGGATGGATGGATAGATAGATAGATAGATGGGGTGGATGGGGATAGATAGATAGATAGATAGATAGATAGATAGATAGATAGATAGATAGATAGATGGATGGGGTGGATGGGGATAGATAGAGGGGGTGGATGGGGTTAGGTGAGTGGATGGGGCCCCTGCACTGCCCCTTCCCCCTGAGGCCCCGCCCGCCTGCCACTCGCTGCCCTCCACCCTCCCCCACGCGCCTCCCTCAGCCACCAAACAGCTGATGGGCAGCGTCACCGAACTGCTGTGGCTGTGGGGTGGTGAACACCCCTTATTTCCCCCCGGGGTGTTTGAGCTCCGGAGCTCCCCCGGAGTCGGCGCCGATGCCTGGCCCCCCGGCCTGCCCCTGCTCCGTCGGGTTCATGGCTGGGCGTCCGTCTAGCCAGTGCGCCGCCCGGCTCCAGGACACCGTCAAAGTCCTTTGAACCCATCTCGCCGTCCCTTGGGCTGGAGCCGGGTTTGTTTTACAGCCGAGCTCACAATTAGGGAGATTCCTACGCCCGGTTCTGACAAACGAATCCCTCTGGTACGCACCAGCTCCGCTCCGGCTCCGGCAGCCGTTCCTACAGCCACGCTCGCCTCTTTGCCGTCTGAGCGGCTAGAAAGCCGGCCAAGGAAAAGGCGCTCGGTTATCCGGTTTGCAACGCGCGTCTCCCCACGCGGGGGGGTTGCAAATCTCAGCGCCCACGGCCCAGAAATTGGAGCTCGGCTTCCCCGAGGTGAACCCGGCTTAGCGCTCGCCCCGGACTTCAGCCGCAGCAAAAAGAAAAATTCTGCTGCTCTTGGCCGGTTGTGAGCTCGGGAAGCACAAACCGGCTTGGGGAAAACCGTAGCCCCGATGGCCCTTTGGCCCAATGGGATGTTTCTTTTTTACGGACCTTGCCCACCTGTTGCACCACCGTCTTTTGCGAGGACCCCGTGGCATCCCCATAGCTGGGCTGGCACCGGGCTGGCTGATGTGCCCAGGACGACAACGAAACTCAGCGACGTCAAAAGCAAACTAGGCAATCAGCCATTGCAAAACCACAACAAGGGAACGCCTTTGCAAAACACCACAAAAACACCACCAAAGTCCTGGCAAAACCAGCCGAGACAGAAGTTGTCAAAACAACAACAAAACCATGGCAAAAACAACCAGGAAAAACCATTGCAAAAAACCCACAACAAAAACATCACAAAAATTACAAGGCAGAAACATTGCAAAACCCCCAAAACATTGCAAAAACATGGAAAAGACTGCAAAAATGCAAAATCAGCAACACGACCATTGCAAAACCACAACAATAAGGAAAAAACAACAACCTTGTAACATCAACAACAACAAAACCGTTGCAAAAATGACAAGGAAAAAATATCACCAAAACAACACCGCCACAAACCCGACAAAACCCTGCAAACACCACAAAGGCAGCAACAAAAGCATTGCCAAAAGCCAGGAAAACACATGGCGGAAACGAAACGATTCCAGACTCCACAAAGCATTTGCTGTCGCGTGGTGGTTTGGGTTTGAAATCACACCTCATGCCCGAGCAGCCCAGAATCGAGCTGGCGTTTGACGGACAAGCCGCCACTTTGATTTCATACAATGCAGTTTTCGCCACGTCACCTTCAGCAATTCCCAACGCTGCGTGTGCCCCATGTTTGCGTTTCCCCCAAATCCTTTTTCCTTCCACCTTTAGAGCCATTTCCGATCACAGAACCGAAACGCCACAAGAGGAAGGGCGGGGGGAGAGGGGGGGACAAAAGCATTTGTTACACGAGTTTTGTAAACATTCATCACGTTCAAACACTCGTTAACCCTCTTTTGCGGCTAAGGCCCCGGGTTCCTTCGCACGCGGCTCTCCAGCGAGCTCCAGCCACGGACGAATATGAAAAGAAAATTTTGTTAGCCTCAGATTTTGTGACGTCTTATGACCTTCCTTGGGCTTTGGCCAAGTGGGGTCCCAGTTCCCACAAGCCCCCTGGTTCCGAACGCCCGCCGAGGTACCGAGCGCGGGACGGCGCCCCCGAGGCTGGTACCTGGGTACCGTGCTCGTAGCTCTGGGCCACCTCGCGGGGATGCTCCAGGACCGGTCCGTGGAGTAACCCCCCGGACAGCCTGATCCGGACGCTTTCCCATCCGCTTCAGCCCAAGCTGCCCTAGTGTCCCGGGGCACTGGGCATCAGCGGGGTGGGTCGTGCGGGGACCAGGCCAACGCCAGAGGGCACCTGCCCACCAAGGGGGCGCCGAGGCGGGGAGGGACCATCCTTCCCTGGGCCAGCGGCTGTCGGGGAGCGCGGAGACGAGCTTCGAGCTCCACGGGGCTGTTCAGCGGGTCGGAGTAAGACCCCCGGGCACTGAGCGCGGGGTCACGATGACCCCTCCCCAGGATGGGCTACGGATCGACCTGCCTCGGCGTCACTGTTAGCCCAGCACAGGCAGAGAGGGCGTATGGAGAGCAGGAGAGAGATAGATAAATGGAGTGGGGGGACTGGGAGCCAGGACTCCTGGGTTCTCTCCCCACCTCTGGATCCTTTTCGGGCCAGTCCAAGTCAGCCGCTCGTCCTTCTCAGGGGAGTACGGAACCAGCTCGATGGGCCCATCACTGCCCTTCGGGTCCGAGTGAACTGGGGTGAGTGAGAGCCCGGGGGGGACAGCAGGGGCTGCGGGGCGGGAGTGAGGGGCACCGGTGGAGCTGGGGGGGGCCCAGGGCTGGGCTGGCAGGGGCTGCGGGTCGGGAGTGAGGTGCGTCTCCCCCAGGCTGCAGGTGCGTTACGGCTCTCAGTGGAGCGACTACGTGGGTGGCTCCTGGGGGGAGCGGAGGAGATTTCCCTGCACCCCGGCGAGTCGGTCGTGCAGGTGTCGGGGAAGGACAAGCTCTACCTGCGCCGGCTGCTCTTCACCACGGACAGGGGCCGCCACTTCTCCTTCGGCAAGGACACAGGCACCGTCTTCAACGCTGCCCCCTGCACCTCCGCACCGTCCTGCGCTACCCGAGCGGCCGCGCCGGGGCTGCCGTCGACGCCCGCGGCTTCCACTGGGACGCCTACCCCGGCCACTGCCCACGCTGCGAGCCGGGCGCCCGGCCAGGGGCTGGCCTGGGGGGCTGGGGCGAGCACGGGCCCATAGGAGGCGCTGTTCTGGAGGGCCCTGGGGGGCCGGATAGTCTGGCAGGTGTTGGGGGGAGCATGGAGGTGATCGGGGGGGTTGGCTTGCAATGGGCAGCCGGGGGGGGGGGGGAGGAGGATCCTGGAGGGGGTAGAAGACAGACACATCCCGGGCCCCAGGTGGATTTTCTCTCCGTCTATCTGTCTGTCCTCCCTCTTCCCAGCCGCCTCACTTCGGCTTCGCGCCCCTTCGCTCCCTCTTCCATTGCCTCCCTCTCGCTCGCCCAGCCCCCTCCCGAGCCCCCCTTGCCGGGACCCCCCCAGTGTTAGCCCCCCGCCCACGTCCGCACGGGTCACGACACAATAAACCAGCAGCCACTTGGCACCAGCACAAACCGGCTCTTCATTGTGTGTTCAGAGTATTCGCCCCCTCGGGGCTTCTGCGGGATAGGGCCCCCCAGCGCCCCCCCAGGCCTCCCTTCCCCCTGGGGGTCCCCCCACCCTGACACCCAAACCCACCCTGCACCAGGGCCTTGAACTGAATTGGCCACTAGGTGGCAGCAGGAGGCAACAAAAGAAACCATCGGCAGCAGAAAATTGGGAAGGGGACACAGGGCCTTTCCCCTCTAGGGGGCGCTGGCCCCGAGCCGGCCCTGGGGGGCGCTGGCTGCATCGGGGGTGGGGAACGGGATCGGGGCCTTTCCCCTCTAGGGGGCGCTGGCCCCGAGCCGGCCCTGGGGGGCGCTGGCTGCATCGGGGGTGGGGAACGGGATCGGGGCCTTTCCCCTCTAGGGGGCGCTGGCC